TAGCGATTCATCTTTCTACGAAGACGCGTGCGACTGTTTCAGCAGATACGTCCTTGATGGGTACTGCTTCCGGCCATCGTGTGAATCGATCGATGCAAGTTAAAATATAGGTATATCCATGGATTCAGGAAGGGGTCCAACCAAATCTATATGGACGTGTTCAAAACGAGCGTCAGGGAGAAGAAAGGTGCCAAGTGGGCTTTCGGTGTGTCTTATCACCTTGCACTTTTGACAAGCTAAGCACTTGTGTGCCCATTCCTTTACTTCTTTATTAATGCCAGGCCAACAAAACCGACTAGTTACGAGCTTGACAGTAGTTCGAATACCTGGGTGAGATAAGCCATGCAACGTATTGAAGACGTTACGGCGATAACTTTTAGGCACGATGGGGCGAGGAGTACTCGTGGAAATGTCACATAGAATAGCATCTCTTCCCATACCTAAGGGTTTCTCAGCTAATTGTAGAGTTGTTTTCGACAACTCATGTTGAAGCTCGGTATCTTCTTTTTGAAGACGAGCCAGTTTTACAAGGTCTATGCCGTCGATTTGGGTGAGGGAACAAACGCGCGACAAGGCATCTGCCACAGTGTTGTTTACTCCGGATACATGGCGAATATCTGATGTAAACTGTGAAACGTAATCCAGTTGTCGTGATTCCCTGGGTGAATACTTATCTGAAGGTGAGTTCAGAGAGTACGTCAGAGGTTTGTGATCAGTAAAAATTATGAATTCACGACCTTCTACTGAATGTCAAAAATGACGGATAGCACAGCACATAGCCAGAAATTCTCTGCCGAATGTGCTGTACTTCGTTTCAGCTCACTGAAGGCGCCTCGAGAAAAAGGCGAGTGGTTGCCACTCTTTGTTAACTAGCTGTTGTAGAACTGCGCCGATCACAGTGTTTGATGCATCAACCGAGATACTTAACGGTGCCGTTGGATCCTGATACATCAGAAGTGTGGCGTTCACAATAGCTTTTTTAACCTGGGTAAAAGCATTTCGAGCAGACGCGTCAAGTTCGATAGACTTGTTATTTCCTCGAAGAAGGTCTGTCAATGGCTGAATCAGAGAGGCACAGTTGGGAATAAAGCGTCGATAATAACTTACCAAGCCACTAAAAGTGCGGAGACTTTTCACCGTCTGTGGCTCTGGACAGTTCAGTATAGCCTCGACCTTAGTAGCCAGTGGGTGAATGCCCTTGCAGTCAATAGTGTGACCCAGGAAGTCAATTGAGTCAACGCCTATATGAAACTTATGAATATTAATGCTAATAGCATGTGTGTTATTTCTAGAATCTTATCAGCAGAAATATCTAAGTAATCTATTACAACACCCTGAAGTGTCACAAGTACGGCCTGTACAGACTGTGGCAGCTTGGATAAGAAGAGTTCTCTAAATAGTCCTTCGTCAAACTGACTTTGGCCAATAACTTCTCTCATTCTTGTCAGCGTGCTCACGGCTCACTGACCTCCTGACTCGATGTTACGAAATAATTTGTCCAGACGTTGTCGGTCCATGAGAACGTTTCTCCCGAGAAGGAATGCTTTGAGCAACTCGTACGGGTTACTTACCTTGGGACTCAACATCTGCGAAGTTACGTACTTGCTGAATTCCCGCGGTAGGGCGTGGATAACTGCAAGTAACTGTGAACGTTGATCGGCTATCCCATCCTCACAAAAATCTGCTTCAGCTATCTGAAACGACGTTTCAGCATTATCTGGCCAGTATGGTACAAGCTGAATGGTTTTAGGAGTTGAGCGGATACGAATGACCTTGGGACTAAGATCACTTGTGACTAAATTTTATGTCGAATAATATATGGTACAAGAAAAAATACAAAATGGAGCGAACTCACCGGGGTTATCTGCGGATTTATCGTGGATGAAGTTCACGGTTGGGCTCACCAGTTTAGAGGTTGACGGAATCTCTCGTACGGCGACTTCTAACTTAATTATTCTCGCGTACCAAAAGCAAAGCAAAACACAATATTTGATCGTCCAAACTACGTGATATATTTCGGGACCATAACAAGCCGTCAGACAAACGCTTAGCTGGCTAGTGATCGTGCACGCACGTGACACGACAGGGTACCAAATGGCGGGGATGCTTGACCGGAAGCCTACAGGTAAACAAGTCGACTTAAACAGTGGTGGTCAGTATCCAATTTTAAGTGATTGCTGTAATCAATTTTTTGGGGGAATTATTTACCACTACACTGTTGTTCGACACAATACCTGTTTGGTATTTGCAAACTTCCGTTTTTGTGTTTTGTCTAAAGAAGATCATTTACTTAACTTTTTTGGCTGGAACTTGATTCTACACCGTATTTTTGATACAAGTATGGAATTTTCAGCTTGTGATATCGGTAGCCCAAATTTTGCAGGCCGACCATAGGTATCAGATGTGCGTCGGCAGGGGATCGAACCTCGGACTATGTCCGTGGTCGGCGAGAGTCCAAACCGCTGTGGCACTTACGCACTTGGTTTTCATGGGCTTCAAACTAGGTCATTCAGTTCAAAATGGATCTAAATCGGTAATAAATTGATAGAGTCTATCTTTTGCACTTAACTCCAGAACAACTGGATCGATTTTGCCGGTATACAGTGAGAAAATCACTACTTGTATAGAACTACCTCTTCTTAGTACTCTCATGCCAATGTAGACATTAAGTTTATGTGAATTTATGGTAGTGGCCGACTGTTTGCCATCACTACAGCACTGAGCTATGAAAATATCACCAGAAACCGACTGGATTATAGCCATTAAAACAGATTTATTAGTCAAAAACGCGTCACATATACGCCTCCAAACACAATTTCATCCTAGGTCGGAGGCCAAACAAACAAACCCGACGGATCGTGAAAGGTCGGACATGTGGTTCATTAAATTAGACTTCCAGCTGCATAAGACTGACTACTTGTTATGAGGTTAAAGGTTGCCCAATAGGATCACCATTTCCACCTAACAATCTGAATCTAAATTTTAAGTACAAAATCCCGCACATTTGCAGCCAACAGCTTAAAATGTCGACCCTAGTTTTGACTGTTCGCAGTAATTTTTACCATTTGTCTCATTAGTGAGGGAATTAGCCATATAATAAGTAAGTAATGGGTTGTGTCTAGAAAATACACGAGCTGCTCTAGGTTGTACAATAAATCTTCTGTTTTTCTGCATGACAGTTAAATATTTCTGAATGTGTTCGGCCACAATAATTCCGAATTGGATGCAGGCCACAGTTAAGTTTGAGTGGTCATTCTGAAGACAGGAACTTAAGCACCTATAAAATGTGGCACGCTGCTATGTTACTTTCCGTTGTTCGTGCACGACTTCCAACTAATCTGGCACGCATCTAGGATCAACAAAACCGATCTCGAAATACATTTCATAGTATTATCGAATTATTATCCGCATCGCGGCGTCGGTGGCATAGCGGTTAGGACGCTCTCCTATCATGAACATGGTCCGCTGTTCGACCCCAGGCCAACACACTCCTTTACTCCCTTACCTTGCTAGGCCAGAAACATTGCTGGTGAAGAGGAAAGGTCGAGCATGAGGCTAGCAACCCCATCCTTTAAAATAAACATTGCTACAGAAACTTCAAGCCACTAGCTTGAAGCTCTATGTTCCACTGGGGAACGTGAAGGAAGAAAATTTATCTGCATTGGGCTTACTGCCCGCTATGTTAAGACAAAGAAGGCATGAAGGCAAGACACTAATGTTGCATCTATCGTAGAAGTAAAGCAAGCTTGATAATAACCTTCAAATATGAAAAATTCAAGTTACAGTGGAGGAGGCACTTGCTCACGGAAACACAAGTAGAGTTGCTAGTACAGTAATAAAGCGGATGGATCATAGTTATTTCTTCACTAGAGTATTCTTGAATACACTATGAAGAGACATATGGTGACTCAATATTTACCTATTTCCGGACAGGCAATATTTCAAGGTAAATTATAAATTTGCCAACGAAATAAATCTTCATTAAACCAGTGAGGGTATAGAAAGTGTCACTGCAACTTAATGGAAGGAGAAGGTGTACCAGCTTTTAACGAAAGTGTGACAAAGTTCAGTAATCAGTGTGCCTCAAAATATACAACATGCCTGCATGTTGCCGTTGTACATTGAACAGCAATTTTGCACCACTTTGAAGTAGTTGCTACTCGTAGACTTCCCGCTTTTTGTGTATGTTAAGGTTTACATTTGTGATTGACTTCTTGGTCTGACTGGATATGATGTGTTTTGGTTGTTGGTACACTTGTAAAAATCCTGTTTCTGCTTTAGTTTGGTATGCCGACCTAGCGTTATTTCATGGTAAACTAAGGTGTGCTCTATATAGACCCATATGCATATTTACTACCCATGGGTAGTAAATACCCAGCTGGCATGGACTTCGAACGCACTGCACAAACTTTGGGGCAGACTGCAGATATCTGTCCCATACTCTGCAATACGCCCGAATATTTTGCCTCGAAAATTCTACTGTGTGCACGAAGAAAATGCTAGCTGTGATACATGTATCACATTGTCCTGAGATGCATATATGCATTTAGTTGGATGCCGAGTTTTATAGCATGACCATATTTACGCATTTCCGGAAACGCTTAGGCCTCCTAAAATTGTCGCGGCTCGGAAAACCCAATCCACTTGTTCTAAGTGGGGCTACTTAATCCTTACATGAAACAATGATCCAATATCCAATGATGGTCTCCTGACAATGGTCATCTGAAGGAAGTTGCGGCTTTGTTAATGAGTTGTATCAGCAGGTTCTTTGGGATGGGTTCCTGCCTTGTTATCGGTAAATTTTTCTGGTGTGATTGCTCAAAACCTTATGAGAACTTCACAATACGATTTACTTTTGCTTACACTATTCTAAATTTTTATTTTGCCTCTATATTGCACTCAGAGTAGATTACTGTTAACTGCTGTTTTAGATTGCATCTACGCCCAAGCTTGAAGTTATTGGCCCGATTCCAAAAGTTTTCGTGTAGTCTGCTGAAGGAATGACTGGTATGATTTTGCATTTTTTTTTCTCTCTAAAATCCATATATTTCCACAAAGAATAAAATCCCTTTTCTCGTGATGCCATGATTAGTAGGAATACCTTTTTAATTTCTTGTTGGTATTGAAGCAAACGGCAGGTTTTAGTTGTTTTGAAGAGAGTTTGATGAAGTCCCACAATTAACAATGTGGTAATATCTCGTTAGGATTACGATTAAGGATAGATTTAGAGTTGTCATTTGTGTCAATTTGTTCTATTATCCACATTTTCCTGGTAAGTATAGTTGCCGATCCTCCTACTGGAAACCATAGTAATCCAACCGAGGGTTTCTGGGGAAGACTGAACAACACGAGAAGAGAGATAAACGATTCACAAAAACACCTCATCTTCAGTCACCTTGGTGAATAGATGTACAGAAACTAGTCTAACTTAGCAACTGATAATCCTCATTATAACTAGGACATATTTTTAAGTCATGTCAAAGAAAGTATACCATGTTTAATGTGTTTTCATGAATTTTCTAGTGAATATACGTCATCTTTTGTGCGAAAATCCTTATTTTGATGATTGGTCGGCCCAAGGTCCTTCGTGCGTTCGCATCCTTTGGGATGTAATGGTTGAACTTTGCCGAAATTTCTTATGGATTCGCCTACAGCAGTACATTTGAATCTTATTCTAGGTGTAGTGGATTTCGTATTTATGGGTCATAGATTACAGGCGCTATCTAGTGATGACTTAAGTTGACCAAACGTGCTCCGGTGACTAACAATTGTCTGTACAGGTCATTGTATGCTACAGAAAATGAACCGATATGCGATGATCTGCCACAGCTGTAATATCGGCTGTTTACTTTTGATGGGGCCGGAGAGCAAGTTCGTACTTCTAATAGAATTCGTATGAAAACAGTGGAATATTTCTTCTTAGCTGTCATCCATCTAGCTATGATATGCTTCTAATTTACTGATGGGTTTGGTCACAGAGATTTCATATCGCTACTTCCTATATGTATGTCGTTCCAACTGGATAAGAATTTCCTCATTGACACTTTCAAATAGTTTCTGTATAACCGATTTCAAGCAGACGTTTTTTTGTCATCATGCAAAAACCAACTGATTTCTTTCAGGTTAAACTTCATGCTGTGTGCTATTATAGTGTCAACTAACTATTCACCCTTGTCAGTTCACATTACTTATTTAAATTTAATCCGCAATCCTCCTTACTTTTTTAACTTTATCTCCTACCATAGAATAAATGTACATTACCCTAGGCACCTTAATCTGTAGACTGGTACACTTGGTGTTTTAGATAGTTGTATGATGTATTTGTGAGAATTTTAAATGTGATTTTAGTTTAGTTAGATGCTGTACCGCGTATGGCTAAGGATATAAGACTTTATCTTGTACTTTAACTAAACGAGGTCCCAGTAGCAAGGTTTCTCGGTTGTACAGGGCCTCAGATGGTCGGGGTGGGTGCTTGCGCTGCGGTTGGCCACCCCTCCGTACACCTCTTGAAACGCTCCCATAACCGGGCGTCTTACATAGCCCTCCTGAGGAAGTCCTACTCACTGCCTTCCGTGGCGGAGTTTTTCCACCGAAAGAGGGCGAAAGCGATGCCCGCGCTCTTCACCGGGTTGACTGTCCATTGGATACAGTCTAGGGAGATGGCTAAACCCTGATTCCAAACCTTGAACGACTGCGTATGAAGCTCACTGGAGCTCACCGCAGACGTATGACAAAGGGCTTATTGGATGCCCTGGATGTCTGGCCCCATTCAAAAAGGCGAATGAACCGGACTCCGGTCACCGGCTGCCAATGGATAGTGGACTCCCTACTCCACTCCTACTGCCTTGTAGGTCACACTTGGTTGTGTAAAGGCTAGAGCTGCACTCTCAAACAAAAGGCCGAGCGATTCTGGGGACATCACTCGTACCCAATTCCCATGAAACTTCATGGTTCATGAAGCCGCTCATCCTCCCGTAGGAGATAGCCGAAGTAAAGTAAAAGTAAGTCTGTGTATGGCGTTAATTTTCAAAGCACGGAACACTCTACTAGACTGCGTCTTAGTTATCCATGCATAGTTCAGTTAAGCCCTACTGGGCTACAGTACACACCGATGTCACTAGGTAGTGTCCTTTCCCACACCTATAGATTCTGATTATGGTGTTTGCGTAGACGAATTTTACCAAAGTCTGTTTGACCGACGCCAAACGTGTAACTACCCATTCGTATTCCACTCGAGGACTTGACGCCTGCCTGATGTCACTCAAACGTCTTCTCAGAATATATACAGTCTGTCTACATTTCCATCTGCATATTTCCTGGTCGATTGGTTATCGGTTGATTCATTTCCAGAGTTCATTGTTGCATATCCTTCACTGATGGCCATCTGATCTTCAGTGTCGACACGCTGAAGACAACTGTAGATGTATACGTTGTTAAATTTAGTCAATAGAGAAATATTATTTAATTCTTCGAGTGCCTGAAACATAGGGAGAGAGAGAGAGTTAGTGTTGCGTGACCGCACAGCCCACTGGACAACTGCTTGAGGCTGGCTGGTCACACATAGCCTGTATGAACTGGTTTCTTGGATTGGTACCGCATTAGTAGATTTACGGCCGATTACGGGCCACTGTAGGTGAGGTAAGTCGGGATCTACAATTTTTGGGGTCAACCTAGTCTAACCCCATCTCTCCAGAGTGGAAAGACGCCATAGCTGGCTGGCTTGCTGGTCGTCTGAGTGAGAGAAACACCTTACTGCGGTTGTTACGTCCCTGTTGCCCAGCAGTACGACTTCGCCCACAGACCCCAGCATAGTGTAAAATAATTCTAACACTATACCGGCGGCAACTGCTTTTAGTCTAATCGCCATTCTAACAACCTTCCTGGTATGGTAGAACCTGCAGGAACAATAGTTCCAGCTTGTGTATCTTGTTGGGTCACTACAATATGCAAACCCGACCACCACGTCAAGGTAGCAGCTATCGGTTGAGTGGATGGCCAACCGGAAAGGATATGCAACAAGGATTTCTGTCAGGCTCAAAATCAACCAAAAAACCTAGAGTCCAACACATCTAACTAAATAGCCAACCAAGGGAGACTTCGGTGGCCAGAATGGAATGGAAATGTTTTGCTGAAGCCAGATACGGAACCCAAGGAAATAATAGCGTTATTATTACAGTATTACACCAGTTGTCAAACTGCATCGTTATTTTATTGTGTTTCTGCCTGCGGTCATCTGGACACATTTGAGACTTTCGTTAACAGACCACTGCTTGAATTTAACTCCCCACTTAGCTGGCTCTTCGTTGCTTATCGATATTGTATTAAATTTCAAGTACTTCAAACTCCTCGTGTGCAGCATACTAATATTGATGTCCTTTTTTTACACAACTTTAGGTGTAATTCTAAATAATTTAGAACAATTAGTTCCCTTTATGAATTTAGACAAAGCAATAAGAAGACGTAATTTGTTTGAATCATGTGTGTAATGTATTTGCTCACCAATTATTTCGAACAATCTGATTACACACATACGGAATTGTCATAGGAAGTCCGTTAGGGCCCCTTTTAGCAGATATCTATCTATATGTCGTACATGGAGAGTTTATCGGAGGATTTAATCGAAAATGTGCCGCTTTTTATAGAAGGTATGTAGATGATATTGTAGTCATAAGTGATAAGCGTCTTGTTCTGCCACCTCAATTTTAAATCGAATGAATGAAGTTCAGAATAGCATATCACTTACATCTGTCTGTACAAGAGGAAGACAATTGTTTGTCTTTCCTAGACATATTGCTTAGTCGACGGCTTGATGGGTCAATAAAAAGATCTATTTATAGAAAACACACCTGGACAAGACAGTATCTTAGTTATCACAGTTTTTGCCCTATTCGGTACAAAAGAGCCCTAGTAAGGTGCTTCTTCATTGGAATCCAACGAATATGCGCCGAAGACACACTTGATGAAGAAGAAAGAAAGTTGACGAAAACTCTGGTTGATAACAATTATCCAGAAAAGTTCATCAGGGGGTAGAAAGTAATCAGGAAACCAAGACCCAATCTACAACTCGCCCGTAAGAAAGACATGTACATCAAACTACCCTATATGAGGCATCATAACAGGCAGCTTCATAACTAGACAAATACTGAAGGCTGTTGTTAAAAAGACTTTTCATGCAGCTAATATCATAATAATTGAAAATGTGAAGCCAATATATCCATCCATCCATCCATCTAAACCCTTAGAACATGAGAAAAATGATGTCACATCACACTTTATTTACTAATTTGAATGTACGTGTGGACATATAGGGAGGACGCATCGATCTCTGCATGTAAGGGCTGACTTCACACCATATTCCTAAATGGCTACAGAAACAAATAGAATCTTCAGAACCTATTAATCGGGAACCTATTAGTGCCAAGAAAGTACATTGCACTAATCAAGGCACTCTATTCAAACTCACGTAGCCGTGTAAGGGCTTATGGGGAATTGTCATCTGAATTGGTAACAACCAGTGGTGTCCGACAGGGATGTCCACTTTCCCCATTTCTGTTTAACTTCATCATACATATGCTGATGGAAGTATCCTTAACTGAACGTAACGACTTAGGAATCGACTTGTTACCAGGGAATAGTCTTATGGACTTAGAATATGCAGATGACATAGTCCTGTTAGGGGAGGATGCTGACAAAATCCAGAGTCTTCTGAACACCTTGAGCAGCAATCTTCGTATGTTCGGAATGCGATTCGCCCCTGTGAAATGTAAGATGCTGCTACAGGACTGGACTACGTCAACTCCTAGCTTAGTGATAGGGAGTGAAGTGATAGAACATGTTGACCTCTTCACCTATTTGGGAAGTTGTATCAGCACCAACGGACTGATTGGCGACGAAATCTCAACACGGATCCAAAAAGCTCGAGCTGCTTTCGCTGACTTACACCATCTCTGGCGTAGGCGTGACATCCGGTTATCAACCAAGGGACGTGTGTATTGCTCATCAGTTCGCTCCGTCCTTGTCTGTGGCTCTGAAACATGGCCAATACGAGTTGAAGACATGAAAAGGTTGACTGCTTTCGATCATAGATGTCTGCGATCTCTTTCTCACGTTAGGTGGTTTAATAAGGTAAGTAATGTTGACGTTAGGCGTAGAGTGTTGGGCAAAGAGGAAAAATCAATCGACGAGGCTATAAAGTTACATAGATTGAGATGGCTAGGTCACGTGCTGCGCATGCCTAACCATCGCCTCCCCCGACGGGCATTACTAGCTGATATAGGTGCAGGTTGGAAAAGAGTAAGTGGTGGCCAAACAAAAATATGGCCTCATCAATCCATGAAATCCTTGACAGTTAAACTGAGTCAGGTAGGGAGGGAGATGCAGACTTCCGGGTTGGGGCCCTCGGGACTCTAGGAATCAATGGCTGGAGACAATAGGTGACATGGCTCAAAATCGTTGTCAATGGCGCAGATGGCGCAGATGTATTCAGTCTCTGTAATCTTTCATATTCCTTTCTACCATTACCCATTCTGTTTCACTCTTATACTTGTCAGACTGTATTGATTCTCTTCACTCATCTTCTTATCTACCTCTGTGTGCTATTTGGAACGTGGCAACTCGAACTGGTGCACTTCGGTGTCAAGTTCTATGTTGAATCCAGACAGATTAATTAGGAGAACAGGAGAAACATATTGTAGAGAAGACAGGACATAAAACTGACGTTAACATATCTTTTAAATCTATCTATAAAATGTGTTTGGGCGTATCCTAAAGTTTGTGGAAGCCCTAGCTAGCAATTAGAAAGTTTAAACCACCTTTTTATGCGTTCAAACCAACAATTCGTCATCACATTAAACCTTCCTTGGTAAACTTTGTTTTGATACCATAGCGGATGTACTATTGCCTCCCTTCTTTGGTTTATTGATCTTCATTTTTATATTGACCTTCGATATGTCCTTTTAACTTGACTTAAATTTATTTTCTCACCACTTAACTCTTTATTAATTGCATTCGTATATATTTCTTTGACAAGTCTGTGTCTGATCAGATTGTTCACAATGTGTTACCCAAATGCCATTACACAATTCAGACAAATTACGTCTTCTTATTGACTTATCTAAATAATTTACAAATAATAGGGTTATTCTTAGTGAATTCTACATGATTTCTTTACAGATTCACGTTTTTCTGTGGGAATTCTAACAGTCAGTGATACATGTTCCAAGGATATTTCACTTGACAAAAGTGGTGCAGTCGCAGAACAATTACTTCAAGCTGCAGGATTCCGCGTCCCGTTACGAGATTGTGTTCCAGATGATAAGCATGCTATTCGTTCTAAAATTATACACTGGATAAAATCTGGTCAAGTTGAAGTTATTTTCACCTTAGGCGGTACAGGTCTATCTAGTCGAGATGTTACATCAGATGTCATTCTTGAATTAATTCCTGAAAGCCAACATCTACCTGGTATTGTTCACTCTCTGTATTCAGTATCTCTTCAGCATACTGCAATGGCTGGTTTATCACGTTTTGTAGCCGGTGTCTATGAGCATACCCTATTGATAGCGCTACCCGGTAGTGTGCAGGCAGCCTCTCAGTGTATTCCAACTATCCTCCCGATAATGAAACACGCTATTCATCAAATTAAAGGTTGGGATCATCTTGTTAAACAGGAACATTCAAGTCAGTATAATCATAATCCGTGTAAAAGCATTTTAAAAAACGGCTTAAATCATCATTCAATTCCGTGTAGTGTTGTTAATCGTTGTAGACAATCTAAACACCCGATGATATCAGTTGATGAAGCCTTGAAGAAAATATTCACAATTTCTAATAATCATAATAATAATAATTTAATCGAGACTGAAGCAGTATTTTATAAAAATGCTTTAAATCGAGTACTAGGTCGAAGTCTTAAAGCACGTCAACACATCCCGCCCTTTGATGCAAGTATTATGGATGGATATGCTATGCAATTTAAAGATGGTGTTGTTGGCCAATTGAAGGTGATAGGAGCATTGTGCGCTGGTGATTCTAATTTTAAAAGTGAGAAACTGACTGTCGTCCCAGGTACATGTGTTCGTGTTAGCACAGGTGGTCCTATTCCCCCAGGAGCAGATTGTGTAGTTCCAGTGGAGCATACAAGGCTTATTTCTAAACGGTTTGTTGAAACTGATGGTAAATCCCCTGAAGAGGGGGAGGAAGAAGAAGATATTATCGAAGTGACAGTTCCACCTGAAAAGGTCAGTCAATTTATACGTCCATGTGGTTTCGATCTAAAGAAATGTGATATCTTCAAGAGAGGCTTACTTCTTGGTCCAGTTGAACTGGGTCTGATTTCAGCTGCCGGCTTACTGGCACCTTGGCCAACTAACTGTACAGATATTCTTGAAGAAAGTGAAGATCCAATCCCTATACCAGTGATGAAATATCTCTCTCAAGGTGGATATCTACCTTGTCTAAAACAATATTCTATTGGTGTTTTATCAACTGGGAATGAAGTGTTCGACGGAGTTGTTCCTGAAACCAGACCTTGTATAAGAGACAGTAATCGTCCAGTCCTAATCAATCTGTTACGTCAGCATAATTATCATAATGTTATTGATTTTGGAATCCTGTCGGATGATCGACAATCTGTGTATACAGGCTTATCTAAAGCTTTAGCTTCATGTGATATCTTAATCACCTCAGGCGGTGTTAGTATGGGTGAACGGGATATTATCAGTCAGATACTAGTTGACGAATTCCAGGCAACTCTACACTTTGGTCGTGTTTTTATGAAACCTGGAAAACCGACAACATTTCTGTCTGTACCTCGATGTATTACTACTACTACTAACGCAACAACAAACTTAAATGCTACAAGTCAACAATCTGTGCTAGTCTTCTGTCTACCAGGTAATCCGGTGTCGTGTTATGTGACAACACACTTGTTTGTTTTACCATTACTACGAAAATTGGATGGAAAACCGTCAGAAGAATGGTGTTTTCCAACTATTCAAGTTCGATTGTTGCATACAGTTAGGCTAGGTAATCGTCCAGATTATCGACGAGCAAAATTGATTTGGAAACATGACCTGAGTGGTGGTGCTGCAGCAGTTCAACCGTCTATACCTTGTGCCTCGTGTGAATCTATGGGTAGTCAAATGAGTTCACGTTTAGCTAGTTGTCTTGATACAAACTTGCTATTAATATTACCTGAGTGTAAGGCAGATATGCAGGAAATCTGTGCAAATTCTGTTGTCAACGCTTTGGTTATTAATTCAATGAATTGAAATTGAAAATTAACCATATTGTTTTTGAGAAAAAAAAATTAGTTTTTAGTTATTTTTTTTTGTACTTTTAGGTATGAATAAAATATTAATCCGCCTATGAGTCTTTTTTTTTGAAAGCTTTTGAAAGTTCGATTATTATTGTTATCACCTTTAGTTCCTTGTGGGATATAGGGCTTCAGTCGCACATCTCCATTGCATTCGGTTCTCCGCCAACGTTTTCACCTGACTGCACGTCTGCTCACATGCTTTCATCTCCTGTTTGCATGACCTCTTCCTCCATGTCATCCTCGTACGACCAACTAACTCGACAGACTGGCGTGTGATGTCACTAACTTGATGGTTTGTTTTCTTAGAGAATGGCCTCCAATCCACCTTCATTTCTTCCTGCCTATTTGATGCACGATCGGTTCCTGCTGGGTTGCTTTACTCCCAGAGATCCCTGTGTTTCTGATCTTTTCTGGCCGGCCATCTGATCTTGAGTAGTATTGAGTGAAGACAGCTGTTGATGAAGGTGTGTAGTTTGTTCGAAATGGCCTTCGTGACACGGCGCGGCGCTAATTCTCTGATCCGTATAGTAAGTAGCACTGACATCACATTAGAGTTGAAAATCCGGATCTTATTGTTCATACTGAGTAGTGCTGTTGATCTACACGAAAGTTTGATTGTTAGCATACTATTCTTGTGGCTGATAATAATCATCAAGAAGCCATGGAGATTTTACGCAGCTAGGTTCACGATTGACCGTAATCTCTCATCTCCAACACACGATCTCCTCCATGTCCTCCTCCTCCTCACTGATCACCTACTCATCGTTTCTCATTCCGATACCACTTGAGCAATTGCCTGCATTGAGTGCGATGTCATGTGACCGACGGCATCCTCAGTGGCGTGTATGCCCAAACAATCCATCTGCGTTTTCTCTTACATATTTGTTGAGCAATTAGGTCTTGGTTGGTTCGTTCATCGCCAGAGTTTCTGGTTACTAATTCTTTCTGACCAGCCGGTCGGTCATTTGATCTTCAGTATGGAGCCAACGAAAGCAGCAGCTGTTGATAGGAGTCTGCACTCACCTGTTGGAATTGCTTTTCATGACACGCTGGTCAAGTTTTTGACCTGACTGACTGACTTCACATTTGTGTTGAAAATCCGAATATTCTTGTTTACGCTGAACATTAGGAAGGTTATATGATACATATTCGACTTATCCATATTGCATAAAACGCAAATATCGATGTAACTAGTTGACACTTGAATCAGTGTCTTCACTAATGCTACCTGTGCATTGGTGGTGGCACAGTGGAAGTGTTCGCTGACCACGCAGGTGGTCCGGTGATCGATCCCCGGACCGCACTCCTCCACCTCGCTAAGCCAGTAGTAAGATTGGTCAACAGGGAAGGTTGGGCATGAGGCTGGTTAGCAACCCCATCCCGTAAAAGTTATCATCACTGCTACAGAAACTTCAACCCTCTAGAACATGTTTTTTCCCTATGATGATGTTGTGTCATACCGGTATGCGTCAGTCTTCTAAAGATAAAAGCGGGTTTCAATTGTTAGAGGGTTTGAGGCAATCGTCAGGAAGCCTTAGACCACTCACTCAGATTTTTTGCTTGCTACCGATTACTTCCAACCGTCTAATAACAACATCCAAAGTGCACCGTAATGTAATGGTGAGCCATCTAGCATACTGGCCACATCACCAATTTGACTGATAGAATTCAGTGTGCATCAATACCAAGGACTAGACTCATTAAAATTAGTTGCTGCCTAGTGGCCAATCAAATTACAGGTTTAAATTATTTGTGCTCATTGTTAGACCCGTTTTATTTTACTGTAAACTTTAAGCAAAAAAAAATATTTCTTTGAAAAAATAGTGAAATTAAATCGTAACTGAGTGACTGCTTTCAATGTAGAACTTTGCACAAATGTGCAGCAGTTCTATTCGTCTCACTTCACTTAGCACACAAAGCAAGAGAAAAAAGTAGACGAAATGCGAAATAAAGACAGTAAACAGGGATATGCGACAAGAGGAATAGTAATATCGAAGAACAATATAGTTTCATTGGATATTATAAGTCACAAGGAGTGGGTGCATTTGCGCCATAGAGAACGATGATTTTGAGGGATACCACCAATTGTGTCCAGTCATAGGCTTTTATCGTCCCGAGGACCGCAACTACGAATTTTGCACCTTCCTACGCGACTTTAACTGTTGTGGATTTCATTGACTGGCGAAACCGTATTTTGGTTTGACCACCACTACCACTGACTCTTTTCCAACCTGACACTATGTCAGCTAACATTGCTCACTGTCGAGGAAGGCGATGGCTAGGCCACACACGCGTAACACATGTCCTAACCATCTCAATCGATCTAGTTTCACAACGACCTCGTCGATTGATTTCCCCTCCCACTCACGTAGCACTCGACTGAAGCCTAACCCCAATATTGCTCACCCTATTATACCATTTCACAAGGGAGATAGAACGCAGACACCTATGATCAAAGACAGCTAGACGACCTTTTAATGTTTTCCACTTTCAATGGGAGCCACGCTCTACCGCTTCACTGCTCGTTTTTAAGCAAGGAGAGGGTCGATGTAGTCGAGTCCAGTCCTGTAGCCTCATCTTACATTTGACGGGAGTGAATCGCATACGGAATATTCGATGAGTGCTCACTGCTTAGTGTGTTCAGAAGACTCTGTTTTACTTTGTCAGCGTCTTCATCTAGAAGGATTGTATCATCTGTATATTCTAAGTCAACGAGATTATAACCTGGTCAATAACAAGTCAATCCCTGAGTGGCTGAAGTCGACCGATAGCTGCTACCTTGACGTGGTGGTCGGGCTTGCATATCGCAATGACCCAACAAGTTACACTGGCTGGAACTACCAGGAAGATTGTTAGGATAGCGATTAGACTGAAAGCAGTTGCCGCCGGCAGAGTAAGAGTTTTTTACACTATTCTGGAGGGTCTGTCGGCGAAGTCGTACTCCTGGGAACCAGGGCTGTAACAGCAGTAAGGTGTTTCGTCACTCAGATGACCAGAATGCCAGCCAGCTATGCTGTCTCTCCACTCTGGAGAGAGTGAGTGTGGTTAGAAAAGGTCGACGCCAAGAATTGTACATCCCCATTTACCTCACCTATGGTGGTCCGTAATCGGCCGTAAATCTACTAATACGGTACCAATCCAAGAAACCAGTTCATATAGGCCGTGTGTGACCGGCCGGCCTCAAGCAGTTGTTTCCTGGGCTGTGCGGTCACGCAACACTTACTCTGTCTCTTCCTGTTTCAGGCACCCGAAGAATTAAATAATATTTCTATAGTGACTAAATTTAACAACATCTACATCTACAACTGTCTTCACTGTGTCCACACTGAAGATCAGATGACCAACAGCGGAGGATACACAACAATGAACTCTGGAAAGGAATCAACCGATAACCAATCGACCAGGAAATATGCAGATGGAAATGTAGACGGCTTGTATATATTCTGAGGAGACGTTTGAGTGCCTCAGGCGTCAGGTCCTCGAGTGGAATACGAATGTGTAGTTGTAATTTAGGCGTGACTCCGAGGATAACATGGAGAAGATCGTGGGGTAGGGTGACTAAAGAGGACTTCAGGGAGTCGAATGTTAAGGGAGATGTGTTCTATATCCCACTGAGAATCTAGAGGAATTGTACTCATTTAATTAAATCTTTGAATGCAGATTCAATTCACTTGTATGCCTAAATTGTTTTTTTTGTTTTTTTTTGAGTAGGATTCAGATAGAAACTAAAAATTTCTACATTACGTAATTTGTAACCTAGAATTTACAATTATAACGACAAGTTTTCAAGAGTTGATTTGTTCGGATTAGATTTGTTTTTACGAGTTTGACCACGGATTGATATCAGTTAGAGAACCGTTGAAAACCATCTGAGGGGAGTACTGGAGAACTGTTTCATTCTAGTTCGGGAATCATCGGCAGCACCCGGCCGATAACTGCTACCTTGTCGTGGGGGTGGAGCTTGAATACCGTAATGACCCAACATGCTAAACTGACTGGGACTCTGTCCCTGCAGGTCCTACCATGTCAGGGAGGTTGTTTGGATAGCGGTTAAAGTAAAAGCAGCTACCATGGGATAGATGGGCTCCAGTATCCAATCGGATCAAATGGCGTATGTACCCATATGGGTCACCGGAAATCATGGGAATGCAGCTCCTGACGCTACTCCTCTGCCTTTCGGATTAGACTCCAAGCCAAAGGCTCGGAGGAGGTCCTTTAATAAAACCACCTGCTTCGGTCTGGGCGCCCGGGCAGTATCTCAGCCCTCACACAATGACTTGAACAAAGCAACAAACAATCAGCGAAACTTATCGCGTGCTATTACACGTGTTGCAGTTTCCTTCTTTCTTCTTCCCTTCCCGATGATAGTTAACGAATACTGTTTGAACTTGTTAAGTAGTATGACTGTTTTCCTTCCAGATGAAGTTCTCTATCCGTTCTGTACTTATATATATTTTTTTTTCTCTTCTTTCGTGTTTTTTCTTTTGATCTATGTTGTTTTATTATTATTGTGTGGCTCATCCTTCTTGGTGCCATATTGTACCAAGTTTTTATGCGTTTAAATAAATAAATACATCTGTCTGTCTGTCTGGATTCAACATAGAACTGACACCGAAGTGCACCAGTTCGAGTTGCCACGTTCCAAATAGCACACAGAATAGACAAGAAGATGAGTGAAGAGAATGAATAGAGTTTGACAAGTATAAGAGTGAAACAGAATGGGTAATGGTAGAAAGGAATATGAAAGATTACAGAGACTGAATACATCTGCGCCATTGACAACGACTTGGAGCCATGTCACCTATTGTCTCCAGCCATTGATTCCTAGAGTCAGTCCCGAGGGCCCCAACCCGGGAGTCTGCATCTCCCTCCCTACCTAACTCAGTTTAACTGTCAAGGATTTCATGGATTGATGAGGCCATGTTTTTGTTTGGCCACCACTTACTCTTTTCCAACCTGCACCTATATCAGCTAGTGATGCCCGTCGGGGGAGGTGGTGGTTAGACATGCGCAGCACGTGACCTAGCCATCTTAGTCTATGTAACTTT